TATGTTTGACACAACACTCTACCTCTGGAAATTTATGTTCATGATTACATGGTACAATTATAATTACATAAAAATAATACTAATGAATATAATAGAAAATATATATGATGTATGTCTATATCACATGGATATATATATATATATCATATCTTGGCATACAATGACTCTCACCTTCTTTCTAAACCATTCAATGAGAGGGAATCTCAGAAATTTCTGTGCAGTGAATTAGTGAGCAAATGCATTTTTCTTTGACTCATCACTCTGTATTTTCAGACTTTCCAAGGGGAACTCAATATAGTAGGAAACAGTGTCAAATTTCCCTATATGGGATCTTAATTGCTAACACCACATGGATCCATATTATGAGGAGAATCCCAAACGTCTTCCTACCAGATCAGGGAGTGCCCGGGAGGGAGGCTCGGGCTGGGCGCTCCTCTGCAAAGACTGCTGGGGTGGCCCACACTGAAAAGGATGTGGGTGGAGAGGGTTCTTGGTAGCTCATTGTGGCGATTGAAACACTGTGGATCCAACCGGCACAGTAGTACATGGCCTCATCTTCTTTCTCTACGTAATTTATTTTCAAGATTGAAGTGGATGTCTGAACATTTTTACTTGCCTCGAGGGTCTTGCTCTTCTTGCCTAAACTCACTTGAGCAGGAGTGGATGTCGAGAGAACACCTATTAGATACTCTATAGCCTGATTCGGTTTCAGGCGATACCAGTATATGACTCTGTTTGCAAAATTACCAGAGGACACCTTGCAGGTTATGTGCGCACTTTTCCTGGTTGCTTTGGAAATGGATAGAGCAGGCTGCTCCAGCTTCAACTGCGCAAGTCCAACTGCAAGCAAAGAAAAGAAAGCCCAGTGAACAAATGGCAAACAACAAGACAACACTAAGCAATGACATCAGTCGCTCTTTAGACTGAACTGACCGGGGGGAACTCACAAGCCCAGAGGAAGGAGAAGACGAGTGCTTCCAGCACTGGCATCCTGGCTGCTAGACAGCTCCCTGCAGGAGCAGAAGGAAGAAGCAGAGCTGTGTGAGCTGCAGTCTCTGCTCAGGGGCAGGTGGGAGAGAGGGCTCAGCTTCAGTAAAAAGCGGTGGCTCAGGTGGTTTCCTGCTATCTGTCTGAATGGCAGCACAGCTCTGGGGTTTCCTGAACCTGCCCAGATCTGATAATAGGACTCATGAGCTGAAAAGAACCCCTGTTGTGAAAGTACTTGCTATACTCCTCTGTGTGTTCCTCTTGAGATTTCATGCTGTACAAGCATTCCCATGCAAATGGGAAATGCTATGGTCTGTCTTCAGTTCCTTCTGTGATTTTCTGCTGATGCAGACATTTGATTTTCTGGAATCCAACAAGGAAAAATCAGAGGCTGAGGTATCTCATTGTCATTATTTCATATCGCATGTGCATAAGCACTGCATTAAAACTTACTTAGGATGGCTCTGACTACCAAGTGTGAGAATATAGAAATTTTGAGACCTCCCCCCGCACAATGGTGTTGGGGATGCACTGTGTAAACTTGCTTGACAGTTCCTCCGAATGTACCACGAGACCAGCAGTTGCACTCCGAGGTACGTACCCACAGCCTTGAAAGTGGACACTCAACCAGAGGTGTGCACACCCACGTTCATGCAGCAATTCACCATGGCCCAGTGACGCAAACACCCCAGGGTGAGGGAGAGATCAGAGGGTTATGGTGACTGTTTGGGGGGACTGTCAATGGGGTCATTTTGATATATTTTTCTAAGTACACAGGATGGTCCTGGGGGCTTAAGAATAAATTTAAAGAAATTGAGAGCTGTTTTGGTGAGAAAAAGGCCAGGACAGTTGTGCTAAAGTTTGTGTTTTTCTTCTTCTTTCGTGATAATGCATCTGCTCATGCTTGGAGGGTGACAAAGGCTGTCTTATGGACACTTTGTTGGGACACTTTACCCCCTTCCCTCTGCAGCCCCGAACTTGCCCCTCAGACTTCCTTTTGGTGCCAAGACGCAAAGAATATTTTAGAAGAAGGTGATTTGTTTCCTCAAGGTTACCAAGACCGCTATCCTGATGTGGTATAAACCAAAGAGCGCAAAATCCTTTGGGAAGGGTTGAAGAGGTGGGAACTCCACAGTCAGAAGTGCTGCCCTCAGCTCAGTGCTGACTCCATGCCCTGAGACTAACTGAAGGGAGTCAAAAGCCCAGTCCTCCTCCTGCTGAGCTGCTGCTGGTTTTGAACTGTCACCATGCAGCGTGCAGCCCAACACACAGCCACTACGCCACCAGAGCTCCATGGGCTTTACTAAAGGATATATCAAGGAATAACTTGCTTTGCCATCCTTCATATCAAGGGCTCTTCTCCTAGGGCTTTGTGTTTGTGTATGTTTGTCTCAGTCCTTGCTCCCTGTTAGTTATTGTCAAGTGATTTTGACTTGTGTAGGTGGGAACGAACGGCATTCTCCGAGCTGTGAACTTGCAGATGCAGATCACCAAGCTTGTGATTGGAGGAGGGTCCAGGGGCTTCAATCCCTCCAGCTCTTGTCACTTCCTCAAGCACTGAACGATTTGCCCAACCCAGGCCTCCGTTCTCCAGCTTGGCTGGTATGAAACATCCAGGTAGGAACAAAGTCCTCTTTGGTGAATTGTAGACCACACTGAGGGATCAGTAGAGTCAGGAAGAGGAGGGACATGGTGCAAATTGCAATGCTGCTGTTAATCCTATTCAGTCAGTTCCAACCCATACATCCCCTGCACAACAACACAATGAAACGCTGCATGCTCTTGCACCCTCCTCACAACTAAACTAGGTGGATCAAACCGGAGGAAGAAGGAAGGTTGGCAGACCATCAGCTTCTATCTCCCTCTCAGCCCTTCCCTTGAACGCCCTTCATTTCTGTCAACAGCATCTCTCTACGGGGTTCCTCAGCGTAGGACTGGGTGAGGATCAAAATGCTGCCGTGACTGTGGAAATGATCACAAGCCCAACATTCTCATTTGATTCTTTCGCAGGCACCTGTGTGCACTGCAATAGGGAGAAAAACAGAGAGGTAAAACGTGTTCATGTTTCAAATCACACTTATTTCATAGAAGAATGTATTAGGATGGCAGATTTATCAAAAATGGATGAATTACTAATATTTTACTTAATCAGTGATAACTTAATGATTGAAATCCTGGTCACAATGTTTAACCTACAATCAATATTTCAATGATTTTCCCCCCAGTAATTGTCTTCATGGGAACTTTAATCAAGGATCACACTTATTTTTTAGGATCTTGTGATTATGAGAGCAGCCAGAGCCAGGTTTTCACTCCTGTCTCTCAGATGACTTAGAAACTCATAGACCTTCTAAGCATTTCCCTTATGAGTCACATGAGCTTGGTGATAAGAAATCACACAGTCCGCTCTTACTGTTTCACACAGCCCTTGAAAACACTGAATTAGTGAATTCCAAATTAGATGCCTTCAGCCTCCACTAGAAACATGTATGCATCAGGTGACTCGATATTTTTTGCAGTTTGTGCATGCACATGTTCACAAATGAGCTGTGGGGGGTGATTATGAAGTTGCATTTTTCATATCTGAAAATACTGAATCCCCAAATAATGAAGATCAGCTATGCCTCATAGACCATGAGGGTTAACCCCAGTAACCCACTGCCAACCTGTCAATTGCTACTCATACAGACCCTCTAGGTCAGAGGAGAACTGAATCCTAAGGTTTCTCAGAATGTGCATCTTTATTTTATGGAAGCAAACTGCCTCATCTTTCCTCTGTGCAGTAGCTGCTGAGTTTGAACCACTGACCTTTTAGTTATCAGCCCCATGCTTAACCGATTGCATTATTCAGGCTCCTTTGGAGGGTTGATGGAATTAATGTATGAGGGCAATTCACAAGTTGCTGGGGAAACTCTTTATCTCATATCCACTTTTCTACAAACTTTTTGATGTCCCCTCCTATGTGAATTTAATTGTTGTAGTTCTTAGTCTCATGAAAAGACTTGGAACACTACTAGAAAATACTCCTATAACTGGGAATTATGAGCTACTCGTTTGGATGATTCTTTCTCTTTTTTCACAAACAGAACCCCAAATTATGGAATCAATATGTGTAACCAGCGCTACAAATTCCCTTCTTATGATATCTTGCTTTCAGAGTTATGAACGTCAAGTGCGACAATAAAGGGGAAAAATGGCTCCTTCTAAAATTTACCTCTGTTATTCTGTTGGTCATAGAATTGTGATGATTTTTTATAAATTGAGTCGTACACATTTTAGGGTGCCCTCAGTTTAAGAACC